ATTTGGTGTAAATTGAACATGGCGTGGTCTAAGACACTTCATGTAGCTGCTTACTATAGGCCCCATGAAAATGACGAAGAAAGCCTCACAGAACTCCAGCAATCTTTGAGTAGATTAAATCATGATCACACAGCAGTGATAGGTGGTGATTTCAATCTGCCTGGATGGAATTGGAATACCCGACAAGTGAAGGCATGCCACTACTCTGCACTTCATCATGCCTTTGATTCAATAGTGGATGATCATGGTCTAACACAAGTAGTCACAGAGACAACAAGAGGATAAAATGTACTCGGTCTGTTCCTAGTTAGTAACCCAACGTTGATCACTGATGTATCAGTTAAACCCGGCATTTCAGATCATGACTGCCCGCTGCTCACAATTGCTAGATGTCCGACTCGGCAGAATTAGCAAGCGAGAATCAACATCTACAGCAAAGCTGACTGGAAAAAGTTTGCTGACTTTATGGAAGGTGTCGGAGAGGAAATTGCAGACAAGCTTGACTTATGCTTCGTGAATGAAGCATGGATTATCTTTAAGAGTGGAATAGAGAAGGGATTGTACCACAAAAACTGACATCTAAGAAGGATGACCATGGATTACGAACAAGAAAAGAAGGATCATCCAAAGGATAGACAGGTTGAACAAAAAATGTCGAGACCTACAATCAAGAAATCATGGACTCATCCCCTATCTTTTGGAGGAAGAAGTAAGAACAATCAAGAAAACACTACAACAAGAGCTAAAGGAGGGTGTATTGGAATTATGTGGAATCCCTTTTTTCTACCGATGAAGATAACACAAAACATGACATTATGAAGAGATTTTGGAGGTTCATCAAACATAACAGGTCTGACAACACAGGAATAGCAGAACTGAAAACTAATGGTACTACAGTCACTGATACGATAGCAATAGCTGAAGCACTGAACCAACGGTTCCAAAGTGCATTCACCAAGGAAACACCCATCCCAGACAACTACCGCGACCTCATCATTTCAAGGAAGAGAGGATATTGTGCTCACACCAAAGGGTGTAGAAAATTTGCTCTTTGGCTTGTAGATACACAAAGCTACTGGACCGGACGGTATAACTAAACAAGTCTTGAAGCAATTGGCAACAACTCTGGCTCCTATTCTTTGTGATATATTCCGCTTGTCCTATGAAACGAGTGTAATACCAGAGGACTGGCGTGAGGCGAATGATATACCAATCTACAAGAAACGTAATAGATCAACTCCAATAAACTATCGTCCCATCTCACTAACATGCATTTGCTGCAAACTAATGGAACATGTTCTAGCCAGCAAAAGCATGGGGACAGAAATAGCATCATCTTCCCCCTTCAATATGGCTTTTGCAAGAACATGTCATATGAACAACAGTTATTAGGATTCACAAGTGATCTGCACAAGAACTTGGACGAAGGACGTCAAACGGATGCCATAATCATGGATTTTTCGAAAGCATTCAACAAGGTTGGGCATCAACGGCTCTTGCACAAATTGCAGTTCTATGGTGTCAGAGGGAAGAATCTTGGATGGATCCAAAGCTTTCTCCATGGAAGAAGTCAAAGAGTCCTTTTGGATGGCAAGAACTCATCATCAAAAGCAGTGGAATCTGGAGTGCCTCAAGGGTCGGTTCTTGGACCTTGTCTCTTTCTATTCTACATAAATGACTTGCCAAATGGTCTAGCATCCAAAGTTCGCCTATTTGCCGATGATGCTATTTCCTACATGACCATCGACAACCAACATTATGCACACAATCTTCAACAAGACCTCAACAGGATTAGAGACCGGGCTGAAAAATGGATGATCGTTTTGAACACGGACAAATGCAAGGTACTCACAGTCTCCAGGAAAAGAAGCAAGGCACAACACACATGTGTATCATCTGAAGAACACCCCCCCCCCCTTGAAACCGTTGACTCTGCGAAGTACTTGGGTGTTACCATCACTTCTAATCTCAAGTGGACCAAACATATCAATATACTGTCAACAAAGCCAATAACGTCCTCGCCTTTCTAAGACGCAATCTACGCATTAAATCTTCTGACCTCAAACCCACTGCATACAAACTGTTGGTTTGACCGATCGTAGAGTATGCTTCCTCTGTCTGGGACCCAGCTTACCCAAACCTCATTTAAAAAGTTGAAATGGTGCAAAGAAGAGCTGCAAGATTCACTCTGAATCGTTTATACATAATACATCAAGTGTCAGCAGTATGCTGAAAGAACTTGATTGGACCAGTCTACAATAGCGCAGAGAAAATGACAGACTAACTATGATGTATAATATACACAACGATCTCGCTCTTCTTCCGGCTCAGGACTATATCATACAAGTCACCCAGTTGACGAGAGCCACCCCACCACATTCCTATCAGATGCCAAACTCAAGAACTGAATCGCATCGGCATTCATTCTTTCCGAGGATAGTAAGGAGTTGGAATTCCCTGCCCTCAGAAATTTGTGTAGCGCCATCTGTTGGAGCCTTCCGTAGTCGACTGCAGACGGTTGGTGACAGCAAGTGGCTAGTCTTCCTCCATCTTATACATGAGCTTGTAAATATTTGTAAATAACCTGTATTATAATGTAAATAGCACTCGAATGGACGTAAATTGCGGTTCACACACAAACGCACATAGTTTGCAAGAATCTTCAGTCAATTGAAGGAGGCAGACTTAATCAGAAGAAGAAGAAGAAGAGCCGTAGAATAGAAAATAAGTGCTGCCTGACGCTTCTCCTCCTGATTGGTTACGGCATACCATTACCAGGATCCTTGCTACTGCATAGACGCGCATATATAGGCCTAGATCTAGAGTGATTTTGAATTGTTCTACAATCTTCCTATCAAAGCTCAGATGCAGACATTATTTCTCTTCCTCACATCTGCTGTTTTGTGTTCCTACACAAAGAAGTCAAATAAAGATAAAACTGGAAACAATAGATATAATGTTCATGACCTTGGCGTGTCCTTTATTGTGCAACCTATGTCCACCGCGTTTCTCTTACACAAGAGATATGCATGCGCGCATATGAATGTAGTTATAGCATATAACTCATCTCATTACATCCCCCTTCTTTTAACAAACAAATGAATGGTAATTTACAGACTTATTCTGTTTCTTATTCCGTTTATATTTACAAAAGTCTGATTTCGAATGTGAATCATAAATCTCACTTTTGAAGAATTGTTTGAAAATGTCTTTGGAGCAATTAGAGCTCAATAACTTTCTCGATCACTATTTTCATATCAGTAATACCTCTTTAGGTATCTTTTAGGGTGTATTCATTTTGTATGGTATTTTCTCCTTTTTTTCAAAGCGTTTCAAGATTCCATTAAGGGATTTAAAACTTTTATATTTGAACGATTATTAATTCCCTGTTTTTCGTTCATCTGAAGCTATATATGTACATGCATTTTAAAATATAACAATATTTTTGAACTTGTTCAACATCAACAACTTTAAATTCATTAAACAATTTCTAACTCTATCATAGTGTCTATAATGACAAAATAACGATGTTTAAGGATCAAAATGTACAGGTCTGCGAACATGTCGACCTGATCTAGTGACACATGTGTTCTGAGTTTGTTTAGCGCTGTTTTGTGATCTGTGTGTGCTTCCATCTGTTGGAATGTTGTCTTGATCATTCTGTTTAATGACTTGTTTTATGTCATGATGAATTTCAGGTTTTTCTCCTATTTTCCGAATGTGTCTACGGGTGCGTCGTAGAGTTTGGCCACTTGGTGTTTGCACCTCATAGGACTTTGGTTCAGGTCTCTTCTTTAGGACTGTTCCTTTGTCCCAGTGTCCATTTTCCTGGTTTTTTATGCGAACCCGCTGTCCTTGGTGAAATGGTGGGAGGGGACGCGTGTTCCTGTAGTAGTAGAACTTCTGCTGATCTTATCTTTCTTGAAGGCGTTCTTTCACTGCTTCCCTATTAGGATCACGGTTATGGATCCTTACTGGAAGATTCGTCTGGATCTTTCTACCCAGTAGTAGTTCTGCTGGTGACGGTAGATATTGAGAGTCGATGGGTGTTGCCCTAGCTCACGTACTGCAAAGCCTTGTCGACGTCTTGTCTGGCTCGCTTCGCTTTCGTCATCGTCATCTTCATGGTTTGTACCTGACGTTCAATATATCCATTTGACTGCGGGTATCTCGGGCTTGAGGTTACATGAGTAAAACTCTACCCGTCAGCAAAGAATTTGAACTGAGAGCTACTGTATTGAGGACCATTTAATTGTCACTCAAAACTTTCTCTGGTGTGCCGTGTTCGGAGAATACTTCCTTCAGTATGTCAATGGCACAGGCACTTGTTGCTCGTCCTTGGATTTTTTTGACAATTGGGTACTTGGAATATACATCTGCAATTAGTAAGTAGGCCTACTCCTTACCATCCAAGTGGAACAAATCAGTGGCAATGACCTGCCACGGACTTGTTGGAAACAGCACCCATACCAGGGAGAGTGCATCTTCCACGAGAGGATGATCAAGTTGATAACCACACAACACCTGCAGGAATACAGGGTTTAGATTTTTTTTCCTTTTTTCTTCTTCAAATCTTAATTTAAGAAGTTCATTTCTATCATCATCATCACCATTTGCTTTGAGGCTGTGCCCCTCAGCAAATAGCACTATTGGAGTCACCCCTTACACATAGTTTTAACCAGAACTTCTCAAGACAGTGTATATTTGTATACTATTAATAATCTTTTAAAGTCCACTCCAAATTTTATTAAACCGAAAATGGAAAATCTTTTGCCCAATTGATCGTGAGCCCGGCAGCCACTGAGCAGCGCCAGGTCGACGTTGCTCTATCCCTTATTGTTGAACGCCAAACAACTAGGTAGCAGCAACTCCCGTCTTAATTTATATTTATTATTATTATTATTATTTTGCAATTTTTTAGGACCATGGCATGTCGTCTATTCAAAGCTCGCTCACTTGGTGAAAATCAGTCCATGCTAAAAGTGGAGGGCTTTTCAGGAATGGCTCATGATCTTCTTTCGCTTGTTGATGCTGCTGCCCTGAAAGTGACCGGGAACTTGAACCCGACCTTGTATGCTCTCAAGGTCATTCCACATCATCTGTATCCTGTCTTATTGGCAGCGAGTTTAGAAAGGGGTTTGGCTGTTTATACCAAAGCTATTGTTGGGGCCTGGCCATTAGCTTCACTCAACTTTTCAACCCTTCAACATTTTTCAAAGTACGTGGATGATATGTACTTTACATATTGCATGAATAAACATGATTCCCCCCCACACCACTTGGCAGTTATAAGGATGATAATAAGTTATCTGCACTAACCACTAACTGACCCGAGCATAAGTTACCATTATTATTACCCAATTTGCTAGATTTCAGAGCACATTTTCCACTCACTGAGGAGCATGCCGTTCCAGTTCTAGTCAATTTCAACAGGCCACAATAACTAACATATTTGCATTCAAGTGGATGGAGATAGTAGCTCTATGGCCCCAAATCAAAGGACTCAATAAACAGAGAGAGACTGAAATCGGTGTAAAGAGGATTTAATTCACTTTAATACTCTGTACGTCTGCTGAATAATTTGTATTAAGAGCATATCCGATTACATTCTGCTCCAAATTTTGGGTTTCAAAAGAAAGTTGCTTATTTCATTGCACATTTTCTCCTGCTTCATGTGTACTTTATTTCTGTATCATCCATGATAACATGAGAAAAGGTTTGTGATTGAAAATATAATATTTTAAAAAGATAAAATAAGAAATGGAAAGATACAGTGAAGAAAGAAAGTAGTATGGTTGGTCTAAATGAAGAGGATGCTTGATAGTCGAGACAAGTAGTGGAAGGAGGGAGTGTCATGATGGGTCATTGGGTGAAAGTCAGTAACCCCTCGTAGGAGGGAAAATGCCGACTTTAATAAATGATGATGATAGATGATAAACCAAAACTCCATTAATTAACAGATAATCTACATGTAGAAGATGACCACGTGTCTGCACTTTAATCAAATCTGTTCAAAAGATTGTTATGTTAACTGTACATTTTTTTTTCCTTTCTTATTTAAATCAGTTTACCCAGCATTCGAGGGCCTAATGAACAGCATCATCCTGCTCTAGCTGCAGCTATTGCTATATCAGAGCAGAAAGAGAGCAGAATTCAAGACATTGACATCACCTCACTCAACCTCAGTAAGCATTAAATAACAGTAAGTTTTGCTCGTATGGGTCATGATAAAAGCGGTTATAAATGGAATTTTTAAGAGTCTATTGCAACTCTAAATTGCATTTAATAAAAACTTTGATAGTTGCAAAAGTTGAAGCAGAATCTGTTGGTGGGTGCAAAGCTTGAATATCCATCCCATCGGCAGAATATTAACTTTCCTTTTATATTTGTTTTAAGGAGAGCCGTGGCAATGATGAAAAATGTTCGATGTATTCTCTCTCATTTAGCAAATTATGAATTAGGTCTGCGTATGTCACAAACAACACAAAGATATTTGTAATTCAATTTTCTAACATTGGAGTACATTAATCATGCATACAAATAGCACAAATTTTCTTTGCATTTTATCTTCATACACATCATTAAATATCTCTCTTTCTCCCCGTCTCTCTACATTCATTCTCCCCCACATATCTTTCATGTTCTCTCTCTCTCTCTCTCTTTCTCTCTCGCCATCCCTCTCTCTTTCTCTCTCTCTCACCCTCCTTTTCTCACCCTTTCTCTCTCTCTCACCCTCCTTTTCTCACCCTTTCTCTCGTCTCTCTTTAGGTGACAGAACAAACAACTTGTTTTTGAATACTCTACTGAAAGGTAGACAAGCTGCGACAAAAGACATTGTGAAGAAACACAGGAGTGTAGCATCTAAAGGTGATCCATTTCTCCATATTGTTTTCTTGTGAAATGTCTTCTGAATTTATTCTGAAATGTCTCATTTATTGATCTGCCTGTAGAGTATAAATAGTATCAGTCATCATTGGATAATTGGTGTCACAAATTTCAACTGACATGAATATTGAAGAAAAAAAATGGGTGGTTTTAAAAGGTTGAAATATTGACCAGTGTCTACTATGTGGTGCATGTATTCCCACACTCCCATGCATACATTCATACATTGTGTAGCTTGATTAACGGTAGTGACCTGTTAGCAACAGTAAGCTATTGCTGGGGAGTTGTTGAGGTCCGGCGTTCTGAAGGTAATACATGTATTTAAATCCCCATATAACCATGTTGTATATCAGCAGGGAAAAAGAGGGAGCATAAGCAATTAAGCTCTTGAAAGCTCAAAAAATAGCTCTGGTAAACTGAAAAAGAGCTTTGATAAAAAATAAAAAATAAAAAATAAAAAAAACACAATTAAAATACTTTTATTACTGTGAAAAAGTGCACCTACACAAATCTTAATGGAGCTCCAGCAAACAGGAGAGTATTTTTTGCAGTTTTGTATATGTTGATCTTTTGCTAGGACCCTGTTGTGTTGTAGTTTGTATTTTTGGCGTTCAGTCAAAATTGACCATTTACGCCTGTCTGTTTATTGGTAGTATTATTTGTCTATGTCCGTCAAATCATTTGTCATTGAGAAAACTGTGCGCCTGTGCTGTTGTGGAGATGTTTCATTTCTTATATATGGACCATGTCTGTTCAGTTCAGTTCAGTTCAGTTCAGTTTATTAATATCATCATTTCGCAGCCTGGGCTGAATTGCATGACAATTTACAATTAAAAACATATCATATTTCTTTCACAATTGTTTCAAATATACTACTAGTTAAAATACCATATAATTAACAAAGACAATGAATTGTCATCAATAGTTAGATCACTTTCTAGTGACAATTCATAATATTAGCATTAAGAATAATTCAATGTATATATATATACAACAACAATATTTGCATTAATAATATTATCTAATTTGGTTTTGCATCATTCAGTAGAGATTGGGTAAATAAGTCATTGATAAGGTATTTGAGTGCTTAATTGAACAAAAAATAACCTTGTTGATACCTGTAATGCTATGCGTAATACCCATGTTCATGCTTCGATAATCAATTATGCCCCTGGAAATATAATTATATGAGAAATATGTTCTGATTTCAAAATATATATCGATAATAATAATTAAATAAATAGTGACACCGGTTTCGTCAAAAAGAGTTAGGCGTACATTGTTCTCTATTCACCCCTTTTATACAACCTTGGCATTATTCATTTAGGCAAGTTGTCAGAAATGGAATGGAGCTATTCTGATATCTTTGTGTCCTGGCATTGATAGATTTGTACGTTCGGCTGGTCCTGAGCTGCATGGAATGAGTTGTGTCGTTGAGAGGGAACACATTCGAGTATATATGGGAACGTACACATGCTTCGGCAAACTTTGTACATAGGTCATGCCTTCTTTCTTCTAATGTTTCTATTGAACTTCTTTGAGAGCAGTTGTGTAAGTGAGTTCAGCTCCAGTGCACTAGTCTGCAGCTTTGTGAGTCCAGGGTGCCACACCGGTGCTGCGTATTCCAGAGCTGGCCGGACGTAGGACTTGTATACGGCAACTAGATCTTCTCGTGGGATTCGAAATCTCTTCAGTCTGCTCAGTATATGTACCCGTTTCTTGCTCTTCGACATCATTTCTTTGACTTGTTTGTCCCATTTTAGGTCACCTTGAACCCAGACACCGAGGATTTTCGTTTCATTGACCACCTCCAAAACATTCGGGTCTAGAGATATGTCTGGGGGTGCTGGTTTGGTTCTCTTGAAGCAAAACTGCAGTTGTTTACATTTAGCTGCATTTAGTTTCAAGTAGTTTTGGTCAGCCCATTGCACCAGGTCGTTGACAGCTTCCTGCAGGTGAGAAGGCTCATTGACGGTCTTGGTCTCGCCGATACTAAGATCGTCTACATACTTCCATGTATGCAACTCTGTCGACTCCAGTGCGTCATTGATGACTGCTAGAAAGGCTAGGGGGCCGATCTTTGTTCCTTGGGGAACGCCACAGGTTAGTTTCTTCCAGGAGGAGATAGCGCTTTGGTATTTTACTCTCTGGTGCCTATTCGTTTAAAAGTCGGCGATCCACGGGATGATTTCCGGACGGACTCCCATATTTAAGAGCTTAGTTACAACCACGGTGTGGTCTACCGTGTCGAACGCCTTCGAGAAATCTGTGACCACAAGATTTCCTACAAAATCCTGTTTGTCTGATTCCTTGTAGAATTGATTCATCATTTCAATCAAACAGTGTGTGGTTGATGAGCCTTTGAGGCTTCCATACTGATGTCGTTCAATATTTGGCCCCATGTCATGTTGGATCCATTTAGCCACGAATCCCTCACAAACTTTCGCACATTGGGATGTTAGTGACACAGGCCTGAGTTTTGTGATGACAGGAGGTTTCTCTTTTTGCACGGGAACAACATCTGCGTCTTTCCAGATCTGAGGGACCTTGCCTTCCCTGAGGAGTTGAAAATGTCTGTCATGGGTATGCTGATCTCGCAAGCAAATTCCTTGAGAACTCTGTTTGGCAAGTCATCAGGGCCGATGGCTTTATTAATGTTGATCCTGTTCAGCTGTTGAATATATCTAAAAGGTGCATTGAAATATTTTCTATCAGAGCACCGAGAACTGAGGATCCTGATGAATTCAAGGGTTACCGGACAAGAGATGAAAGCCGTCTTCAAGAAAAGTAAGCAGCTCCAATATGCCAATATACACGTCCGCAGCAAACGGCTCACGATAGACCAGTGTGGTACAGATCTTGTGGAGAGGGTCTTGGATTTGATTGAAAAAGAGGTGAGCTGTTACGTAATGGCAATTTAGGTAGGTAGGTAGACTCTGCATAGATAATGATACAAACTTGGAATTATTCATCAGCCAAGAAAGTTGAACAGACCAGGTATGAAATTTCTGCCTTTCATGATTCCAGTTTTCATCATGAATGAATTACAGCACACATGGATACTGATTTGTGCATTTGTATTATACCTGGAACTATGTACAATTTGTTTCAACTTTAGATAACCCGACATGAGTGTCTTAGTATGTGAAATTTCATACCTTTTCAACACCTTTATCTGCAACTTTTTTCTTATTGTTTGGTAACCTCATATCTACTGGTCCCATGTGCCTTTTTGTTTGTTTGACCAAATAAAATGCATCCGGTCATTCCAGTGTGTTGCCTTTTTGTGAAAAGCAACTATTGTGAGCAACTGAGCACTGCGGTGTACTTTATACAAATATATGTTTCTACAATAGTTAAGGATCATCTCCAGCACCTCACTAACACAAGAAAATTTAAAAAGTATTAAACATCAGGGAAAATAAGCCAAGTTTTATCCAAACTTGAAGCTTTAATTGCTCTTCCATTCACCAACTCACAGCTAACGTGCATGTGCACAACATTAACCTATTTTTAATGTATTTTTAATATGAATATTCAATATATTTGTAACACACCGAGTGAGGCTCTTGACTGCATATGAAAAGTCATGGGTCCAATCCTAAGTTGGTATTGTTCAGGGCGTCTTATGAGATCTAAATTTGGGTCTAAGTTTTGTATACCGTATTTGCCGGCGTATAGGCCGCAGTATTTTTGGAAGAGAAAATATCAAAAAGTCGGGGTGCGGCCTATGCGGCGAAAGAGTAAAATTTTTTTTTTTTTTTTTTTTTTTTTTTTTTTAGTTACGATTTATGGCGCTATGCCTGGCAATGTCTCCCAGCTCAGTAATCAGTGTGTTGACTCACCACTCGGAAACTACAACAACACTAAAATTTGTCTGTCATCTTGGTTTGAAAGTAATCTTTCTAATAGATCTCAATATGTAGTTTATAATAATAATTCCTCAATTTTTTGTATATAACAAATGGTGTACCACAAGGTTCTATCCTAGGACCTAGTACTCTATTGTTTTTAATTCACATTAATGATCTTACACATTCTTCTAAAAACGACATTGTTACTATTATTTGTGACAAGTTTACAAGCACAAATCAGCGCCTTTAACTGCACCTCGATGTTAAATGAAGGTCCTTCCCCGCGTGGGTTTTCGGCAACAAAACAACAACAACAACCAAAAAACCAAAAAAAAATGTTTTTTTTTTTTAAATGTCAAAATCGGGGGTGCGGCCTATTTATTTATTTAATTTTATTTATTTATTTATATTTCACCAGGGTAGCTCATTCAACAAAAAGTTGGTCTTCCATGAGGCCCTGTAAAACATGTATATACAATTAAAAAGATAAAACAAACAATTAGGTATGAATACATTAATAGAACAGTATTACATATTGAAAATAAATATACAATATCAAACATATTAATCAGTGTCAATTATGATGAATGCTAGTATAAATAGATCACTTGCTAAGAGAGTAAAGGATTAAGTAAAAGAAGCGAGAGAGAGAGAGCTTAAAGAAAAATAGAGGCAGACTAGCAGTAAAAAATAATTAAAAAAAGGTGTTCCTCAAAACCTATCCTGATTCAACAGCAAGGTGGAAAAAATATTTCTTAAGTGCCAATTTGAAGGTCTTTACATTACTTATCTGCTTAATAATAGAAGGTAATTTATTCCATAGAGAAGCACCATCATAACTTATTGCATTCTTAAGGTATTCAGTATGACATTTATCAATAATCAGGTCATGACGAGTACATTGCCGTGTGTAAAAATTATGTTGAGTTGATACTTCTTGAAAAACATCTTTGTGAAAGTCTGAAGATAAATCGTTAAGACATTTAAAAACAAATATACATCTAAAATATTTAACCCTCTCTTGAAATGGTATCCAATTCATGCGAGTTAATAATTCCTTTGATGGGGTATACATATTACAGTTTAAAATCATTCTTGCAGCCCTCTTTTGTAGTTTAGTTATCTTATCTATATGACTTAAAAACCTGTTTCCCCAAATTTCACAACAATAATCATTTTGTGATTGTATGAGACATGTGTATAATAATTTCAATGAAATGTCATCTACATATGGTTTAACTCTTCTAAGCATGGCAAGTCCGGCAAACACTTTTCTACATAAATAATCTACATGATCAGACCATAATATGTTTTCATCGATCATAATACCTAGACATTTAAAGATCTTACATTGTTCAACACATATATCTTCATATTTTAATGTAATACTGTCATTTTTAAAATGGTTTAATCTTTGTTTACTTCCGATGATCATAAATTTGGTTTTATCAACATTCAAATAGAGTTTATTACATTTTATCCATGTACATATAACATTAAAATCACTTTGCAATTTAATTTGTACATCCGAAAAGGTGGGTCCACTTACATAAAGTGTCGTGTCGTCGGCATACATTACAATTTTTCCATGTTTCAAAACTTCTGACATATCATCTATATAAATCAAAAATAGGAGCGGGCCCAAAATAGATCCCTGTGGAACTCCAACAGAAATACAGCGATCAGTTGATTTAGAATCATTTATAGCAACATATTGTTTTCTATTATTTAAATACGAGTCAAACCAAGCTAATGATAACTTACTCAAACCTATTTTCTTTAACTTATTTAACAAAATATCTGGATTAACCGTATCAAAAGCTCGTCTTAAATCAATAAAAAGAGCCCCTACAATGAGGCCTTTATCTATGCAGTGTAACCAACTGTCTGTTAAAGCCCCAAGAGCCGAGGCTGTAGAATGACCTGGCCGGAACCCGAACTGCGTCTTACTGAGGATATTATGTTCTATTAAATAATCATACAATTGCTGATGAACAGTCCTTTCAATGAGTTTACTTATTGCAGGTAAGATGGAAATTGGACGAAAATTACCAATATTGTTAATGTCGCCTTTTTTGAATAACGGAAAAACGGAAAAACCTTTGCATACTTCCAATCATTGGGAAAGACTCCTGTTGAAAAAGACAAATTAATCAATTGAGTAATGGTTGGTACAATAAAAGCTTTAGACTTTTTTAGGAAGATAATATTAATATCATCAGACCCTGTTGCTTTGTTAGAATCCAAGTTTGAAATCAATTTTTCAACATAGCTTTCATTGGTGGAAACAAAGTTAAAAACATAATTGGAAGGATAGCAATTAAAAACATCCCCAATATCATGTTCGTCGGCTTGTATGACATTCATCTCTTGCGCGAGCTTAGCATTTATTCGAATAAAATAATCATTAAATGCATTGGCAATAGCGTCATCGTTATTAAACACCATATCATTGTCGTAAAGAATGGAAGGAAATGATGAGGATTTTGTTGGTAATAATAACTTTAAACATTTCCACATCTTTGAAACATCGTTTACATTTTTCTTGATTTCTTTCTTTAAATATTCAGTTTTACTTTTAAACATAGATATATTGACCTCATTCCTTAGATTGGTGTACTTTGACCATAATTCTTCACACATTGTATTTAAATGGGAATCTTTTTGCAATAAAATCTTTTTCTTTACTTTCAATAATTTTCTATGAATATTATCTCTTTTCTTCATCAGTGTTCTAATATGTGACGTTATCCACGAAAGCGATTGATCTTTAACACGAAATGATTTTATTGGTGCAACTTTATTTACAATAGAGGTAAAAATTAATTTCCAGGTTCTCCAGAAAACATTAACGTCGTCAATGTCACATAAATTTGACAAAGATGCAGATTCTAAAAGATCATAAAATTCCTGATCGTCAAAATCTTTTAAAGAGCGAAAGGAAACAGTTTTAGGTAGAGACTTTTTCTGTCTTGAATTCAAATTTCGAATAACATACACCATGTAATGATCACTAAGAGAAGTCATTATACATCCATGTTCGACAATTTTTGAAGTACGAGTTGTAAAAGCGAGATCAATAATGGAAGCGGAGTTTTTCGTAACGCGCGTAAAAATATCGATTAATTGAATAAAGTTGTACGAACTCGTCAAATAATCTAGTTTGTGAAATAAACGTGTATCTTTTAATTTACTAAAATCACAGTTAAAATCTCCAAAAACGAGTATTTCATCTATTGAAGAACCTGAAGAACATATTGATTCCAACCTTGCTTCAAGTTTTTCAAAAAATGAAACATCACATGACGGAGATCTGTATATACTAATAACATACATGCTTTTCTGAAAAGGTAAAGTAATTTGAATACATATCATTTCTAAATCCAGACTTTCCAAATCGTATCTTCTGGTATAAAAAATCTTATCTGATATATAAATAGCTATTCCTCCACCGTGGCGTGTTCTATCTTTACGTTCAACTCTTAAATTGTCGATCGATATTTCATTATCGGATATAGAAGAATCACAAAAAGTTTCGTTAAAACAAAGAACATCAATATTATTATTAGACAAAAGGTATCGTATTAAATCAATCTTATTTACCAAACCTCTGATATTCAAATGCAAAAATAGACTTCCTTTCGATAGTTTAGGGATTTTACCATTTATAAGATTGAGTTGTTGTGAAAAATGGTTCGTAGACTTTTTCTTGAAGGAAGAAATATCTGGTATAATATTGACATTAGTATCCTGGTTTGACATATGACATTTATTAGAGGCGCTCTCTTCTTGGCCACCATATTAGTAGTAGGGGCAATATCTTAGTTTATGACCAGTCTGCAGACACTGGCGGCACTGGAGTGGAGCCCCATGTCGGCAGAAATGAGCGCGGTGGTTCGGTTCTCCACAGAATTCACATCCTTGAAATGCGCGACTTAGATTACGTGATGTTGGTGCACTGACTACTGAAGCATAAGTCGAGCGATGGTTCATTGGCATGTTGTATTGTTGTCTTGGTGGGAGTGACTGGGGGTGTGTGC